ACTCTAACTATCGTGGCGCACTGTCAAAACCGTATGTGTTTCTCTTTTAACCGCAGATGAATTATTATGCTTGGTCAGTTCCTAGAATCATAAATTATTTTATTTTCATTTGATAGTGTGATGGATACTTTCGGCCGTTTGGAACTGCGAAAGGTTAGCCCTCCTTAAGGTTTGCTTATGGTATGATGAGGTTAAAGCTTGCACGTAATTCCATTTTGAAGCGAAAAGATGATATCTTTTGAGTCCTTTGAAAATACTTCTCTTTTCCGTTTTGATAAGGGTTGTGGAGAAATGATTTACGACAGACGTTAAGCAGTTCTGTTTTGCACAAATGTTTACGTGATATATCTGCCTGAGGACCTTTTCAAGGTAGTCATTGCGCCTTAACAAAGTCGTACTCAGACGCGCACCCTGGCAGCGCTCGACCAATGATGACACAGGTAACTGCTTAATCCAATTTAGCTTGTAAAAATTTGAAGTTCAGGGGTTATTTTGAAGTCTACTTTGTTCGTTTTTTTATCCACCAGTTAAGAGCGTAAATTTCCTCGTACAAAGACCTGTGCTACACATAAGGAATCGAAAACAAAGTCCCTATAACCTGTAAAAGTAATTTTCAGTCAGCGCTTCCGCATGTCTTCGTCTACGCTTTTCTAAATGCTGAAGCCAACAGCCCCGTAGAAAATTGGAATAATTCAAGTAGACGTCTTAATTCTGACAGATGTGTGTTACAGTTAACAAGAGGTGCGTTCCTAAGACTATCTACCGGGGGCTTAAAGTCGTTTTAAACTCCATCGACACTAATTTAAAAGGACAGTTTATTTTTTATTTGAACAGGGGGCAGATAAGAATATAACTGAGGATACATAATCAGCATTCGTCTCAAAGTTCATTTGGTGAATCACACGAGGCACCTTCGCAATTGGCGTAAACGCCTTTGAATCCACTGGGGACTTACAACATACCGTTTTTATGAGACGACGTCCACTTATCCGGCATAGAAGTAGGGAATATAAGAAAGCCCCGACGTCTTACTTCTGTGACCAGGGAAACAATGTGTCAGACAAGTGTTCTTCAGGAATGAATGACCTTCGTGTTCATCTGGATCATGCGGTACACATGTCATTTAGGCAGTACAGAACGATTAGAAGCTTAACTTTTAATTTACTTGGACAACTTGGCTTACGGAACTGCTAAAGTGAGGTGTTCTAAACCAAATTAGCTTTTGATCAACACTGCCCGCACTGTGCACAATAGCCTTACGTCATGAGTTCGAATTCGCCGATAGATTACGGCTTAAAAGAGTAAGCAGGAATGATCGCGCATCTGGGGTGCTGATTGAAAATGATTGATGAAGTGAGTGGAGGTCCTCCTGTGTAACAAGGAAAGGAGGCGTTTTCGCAAGTAACCAGCAAAGTTAGTGGATGCATGAATGAGAATATAAACAACGCTAGGTTTTTGAAACGCATACTTACCTCAAGTGATGAACCGACTTGTGAGTTAGTTAGCTAAGAGGACTTACGATTCGTATAGGCGGTCCGATTATATTCTTCTTTGACGCCACAGAGAATCTCAGGATGTCAGATCACACCTTCCACGCAATATTTCGTAAGTGAACAGACTGATTACCTTCATAATGTTTGACTGTAAAAATTTAAGCCTAGCGACCCTGGACAGTGTTCACTATATATAAGTTAATCTAATACAAATAAAAAATGTCCTTTCATGTGTATGCATATTCTGCAATAAGGAGTAGACAAAGTAAGGAGACACTGTAACGGAACATAAAGGAGGGAGGTAGGCATTCCACTCATTTTCTGCCTCCAGTACTTGGACAAAAGTGTAGGTAACCTTTTAGCTTCCTCCCAATTTTCCTTAATATGCGCTAAACGATGACCAAAAATACAACCCCATTTAAGCAAACCCTCCCAATCAAAAATTCATTTCGTTATTTTGGTTAACATTTCATATGGCAGGTTATTAGCTGTGTTTAAAATATTTCATTCCACTGCCTACTTTCATGAGACAACCGGTGTCCAGGGCTGCTCATCCTTTGTTTTGACTGCTGGCGCTAAATCGCCGTTCCAGGTATTCATACAAAGGGTTTGAAAAACAATGTCTGTTTGATCGATTAATATCATGGAGCATTACTATAACCGACTAGCCGGCACATATGATTTGGGTTCGTTTATATTAAGGATAAGTAGATAAAATTCCAACTATTTGTGCTGAAATAAGTTTAGATAATAAGACCCCTTGGTGAGCATTGCGGCAATTAAAATGGTGACTTTGAATTGGAATTGAATTTTCAGCTTTAATTGTGCTTGCTTATGATAAAGCACAATTTGGAACACAAACTGCCAACGAACAACACTTCCGTAGGCATACATTTTTTGAGCTTACATTTGATATGTATTGAGTAATGTGGAATTAGATGATCAGAAGAGGTTAGCATTTTAAAACCGGGAGTAAGTAGGCAACATTTCGTGAGTCTGTAAGTATTCGTGTCCATATCTACCATCATTAATTTAGCGTCCACAATTAAATGCATGCTGTTGGTCCTATGTGCCGAATGTTGCCTCAAATACAGCGGCCAATACAAAGTGCTTTTTTCTTCATTCCTGGTCATTCTGGCTGCCATGCATGCTTACTTCAACTGCAGTTTAATTAAGTATGTCTCAAATGATTTCAGAAGACCGACATTGCATCGTATCACACAAGATAGTAAAAATATTACTGAGAAATACACATACAACTCCTCTGCATTTGTTCTACAACCGGCTTGTTCGTCTTGTTTGTATTTACAGCATAATTATGCTTACGCTATTTAGAACCTAAACTAAACATTTATGAATTATGCACCACTATATTCTTAAAGAAAAGCGACAGTAGTCAGCACCTCCTTTTGCCTCGTGATCATCTTCATCTAGTGCAAATTATATGAACATGGACGCAGAAGGATAAGTATAGATGCAAAACGGCGGACTACAGTCCAGTGCAATCTCGTCAGAGCTCAAGGCCTTACCCGCTCAGCAGCCGAGTCGACTGTCACTTTATCCACAAATCTGACGTCAAAATGAGTATTCAGACTATGGACAGCCACTAAAATAAACCAACTACTAGGCACACAGATTCAGCTTATCTTGCATAGTTATAATTTCGACAAACTACATGCACTTTGCGTCGTATCACTGCAGGAGTAAACTGAACATTTAGTTCAGTTTATTTTAGTTTATTTGAGGGAAACATAGGTGTTAAGCCTACGAACTCTCTATTTGTTACAATAAATGGAGGTATATCAAAAATTTGAAAACGGAAACATCAAACAACTACAGAAAATCATGGAGACCAGACAGAAAAAAGAACTATTTCAAGTGTTAGATATTTTAACGTTAATAAATACACTTTACGATAGTCAGTCCATGTATAATTCTGCTGTAGCAAATTGGTACTATCTCAATTATCTGCGGAAGACAAAGTGAGTGCCAACATTCGCATGCAATGGACTCGGGACAATAAGTAAATAAACACAAGCGTTACTGAAATACAGACGGTAGCATAACAGTAGTAAACTATTAAAACAGAATGTCAAGACGATATCGGTCGGGTGGCACCATGACGTGTGGTGGTACGCTGATCCAGGATGCGCACTTGACGATATCTGCAGACAGAGCATCCCAAGTCTCAACCAATCCGTTGGAGAAGAAGGACTTCGATGTGTCTAGCCTGGCGCCAATCACACGGATGAGCTCGGAGGTTCGTTGTGACTGCTAACTAAAAGAAGTCTTCGGGTTAAAGACAATAGTTCCGACCGCACATGGTACGGAATGTTTGTATCAGGTCGCCTCTTAGTTTCCCGTAACTCAGAGGACAAAGGCCGAGACTGGATAACTGTTTTTCGTAGGGTAGTGAACCCTGTCCATTAATGAGTTTGGTTGCGCGCCTGCTAAGATAAAATCCCATATGATCCGATCCACAGTCTACTGACAGTTAACTGGGGTCGCTCTCCATACCGTTGCCCAGCAGGCCTTACTATTAGGGTCAGAATGGGCCAATAAACTAATTTTGCCGACTGACTGATTGTTATTCGTGCTAAGATTTGGAAGAACTCCTGAGTCTATTAACAAAGACAGAACAGCACACAGATGGCGGACCTGCAAGGTATAAATCAGATCTTAGATGCACATACCAAGAAAACGTACACTACCCTTGATTAGGGGATGAGCGGGTTTCACAGCATCTCGATATTCAAGCGACGCGTACATAGACAAAGGAGGCAATTTTTTCACGAAAACGGCTGATAAACAAATTTGATCTGAACACTTTGTTCCGATAAAGTTAGGCGCTCTGTCAGGACAGAGTGGAATAGGCTGTTGAAACAAAGAAAATTAAACGGCGATTTTACGCTTAACTGTATATCTCGAGAAGGTCATGCGGTCAGCGTGACAGCATTCACGGCCGAGAAAACAAGGTCGCTGGAACAAGTGCTTTACTAGCCTGACCTTTCGGATTCTCACTCCAACCCATCATCAGAAACAGAGTCAGATAAGGGAAGTGGATTGTCCAGGTGTTGCAATATTTACAAGATGTAGTTTCTAGGTCGCTATATGCTTATCACAGTTGGCAGCTCCCGACTGCATCACAGCTCGACCGGCCAGGTGTTGAAATATGCTGCCGCCATGCAATTGCTGTGCGCCTTTATGCCGGTCAAGATTATCGGATCCCACGCTCATCGCACGCTGCCGAGGGGTTGACCACAGGATTTTATCATCCGTTTGGACTGTTGGGTGATTTAACTGGCCGACATTGATACCGGAGATAGTGGTTATCCGCGAGTCTTCCTGCGGCTGACTACTTTGCTTAGACTAAGTCTCAGCGCCAAATATGGTGCGGGGAGGTTGTTGTGCTTGTTGATTGAATGGAGACCGGAAAACCACGACTCGAGTAGTTAACGGCTCACGCGGTTGTCGCCTCTAGCAAGGATTCTGCTTCGTCGACCTTGAATGCGTGATTGGGTCCAGTCGAATCAGCCGCGACTTGCGAACTACAACATGAATCTTAATTCAGCACAGCTGACGCCATACGTGATTGCTGCGATGGAATCCACCCTCTGTCAGACGGAAGCAACCGACGACACGAAGAACCTTTTCCGACACCAAGTGTTGTCGCTCCTTATGGCCTACAGGCTGCGCGAATTGCTGTCCAAGGTCGAACGTGCTGCGTTAAGAGTACTCAAGACCGACAAAGACATCGTCATCGTGCCTGCGGACATGGGGCCTTCCACGGTTGTTTTGGACAGGACAGACTACCTTGTGAAGGCCAAACGTTTATTGGTGGACCGCCAGTCCTATGTCCCCAGCGCAACCAAAGCCGTAAAAACACTGATACGAGAAGTCAGTGCTACGCTGCTGGCATTGGAAAATTCGGGTTGACCGACGCATGGCGAGAGCCCAGGAGACAGTTTGGCCCGCCTCGGTGGCCTTCGCAAGGTGCAAAAAGAGGGCGTCCGCCTTCATCCCACCGTCTCATTCAAAGGTAATCCAACCTACAGTTTGTACACCACGTCACATTTACTTTATTATTAGCCAGTACCCCCAGCTAAACATCAGTGCTATTTAGACAGTAAGTAGAAATTCACAAACTCTCAATTGCGCTGCCGACCTCAAGTTATTTGTTCATATTAAAAGAATACAGCAGTTGTTCGTGTTAAAAAAATCAACACTGATACGCTATGATAGTAAATGCAGACCTCCAATTGGCAGACGGATTTTTTTCGTTCAGGTTTATTTCCATGCAGTTTGATCCCACCAAGCTTCCTCGCCCCACAATCTTTCAAAATAATCTACTCTCAGAATGCTCAAACATAAAGGTTATAGGTCTGAGTTAGACAAGTAAGCTTGTTTTATCACCTCATGCAGATCATTTTTTTACAAAAACTGCGCGCATACTTCGGTTTTCTTTTCCTGCCGTAACCTCTCATTAGGACATGGATGGTTGCCTAACTTCTCATCATTCGAACTGAAATCCCGTAAAAAGTTCACTCCGAAAAGCATAAAGTCACTATTGCCCGTTTTATTCCCAAAAAATCAAACTCCTGATTGCAAAAAAATTTATTTCATATTTTGCTTGCTCAGCTTATAACGGTCGTTCAAATTTTTTGCTTCCAAGTTCTTTAGTTGGTTGCCAAATCCGCCGATTTTATCCCAATCGCGCGTCTCCACAACCACCGTTCACGAACTTCTCTTCGCCGACGACTGCGCCCTGAACACCAACGTGGAAGAGGAGATGCAACGGAGCATGGACCTCTTCTCTGCCGCCTGCGAGAACCTCGGTCTGGTGATCAACACGCAGAAGACGGTGGTCATGCATCAACCGTCACCCAACACAGCCACTCCTCCCAACGCGCCGCAAATCAGTGTGAACGGAACCCAACTGCAAGTGGTGGAGAACTTCCCGTACCTGGGCAGCACTCTCTCCCTTAACACCAAGATCGATGACGAAGTCGCTCGCAGGATCTCGAAAGCCAGTCAAGCCTTCGGCCGCCTCCAAAGCACAGTTTGGAATCGTCACGGTCTTCAACTGAGCACGAAGCTGAAGATGTACAAGGCCGTCATCCTGCCGACGCTGCTGTACGGAGCGGAAACTTGGACAGTAAACACAAAGCAGGCACGTCGACTGAACCACTTTCACCTCAGTTGTCTCCGTCGCATCCTGAGGCTGAACTGGCGGGATCGAATTCCCGACACTGATGTGCTGAAACGGACGAGAGTCATCAGTATCAACACCATGCTGAGACAAATGCAACTGCGCTGGAGCGGCCACCTGGTGCGCATGGACGACGAGCGACTACCCAAACGACTCTTCTACGGAGACGTCGCGACGGGCTCTCGCCGCCAAGGAGGCCAAATTCATCGATACCAGGATACTCTGAAGTCCTCCCTGAAGCATCTATAAATTAATCCAACCAACTGGAAAGAGCTCGCCCTTGACCGACCGACCTGGAGGAGGAAAGTGAAGACAGGCGCTGCGATCTATGAGGTCAACCGAATCGCCGCTGTCAAAGTGAAACGCGAAGCACGCAAATCACAGCTACGCTCCGTCCGCAACGCCGACGAACAACCGCTTCCAACGTGTCCTCGATGTCAACGGACATTCCGGGCACGAATTGGACTCATTGGACATCTTCGGACCAACTGCACCTCCCATACTGCACCAACCGCCGCCCTTCCGCCCGTCTCTGCTACGTCCTCTCCGCCGCCAACTAACTCTGACAATTCTTCTGAACCACCACTTCCGTCCTCCTCCTCCTCCTCCTCCTGCCCCACTGCACCAACCACGGCCGCTCTGGTGGCCGTCACTCACACCAGCAGCACACACATCCATGACTCAACAACAGACACCATCCCTCCAACCTCCGACTCCAGGGGTGAGGACCAGGACTACACCTGCCCTCACTGCGACCGCACTTTCACCTCACACATCGGCCTGGTCGGTCACTGGCGAATCCATCGCACAGAGACTGGCGAACCAGTGCCAGGAGCACCAACTTACACCCACCGCACCCGCCTTCACTGCCCACACTGCCCTCGCACCTTCACGCATCGCATGGGCCTATTCGGCCAAATGCGCACCCACGAGAGCGGAATTGACCGCCCTCCCGACTTACCCACCACGCCAAACCCCATCCCCAATTCATCCCCCTTTGCGCCCATCACCGTTATAGCAACGGACACCGACACTACAGAATTCACCTGCCCACACTGCACACGCGCATTCATCACTCGCCTCGGCCTAGTCGGCCACTTGCGAATTCATCGCACAGAGACTGGCGAACCAGTACTTGAGCACCAACTTATACCCACCAAGCTCGCCTCCACTGCCCACACTGCCCTCGCACTTTCACGCATCGCACTGGCCTACTCGGCCACACGCGCATCCACGACGACCTGCGGTAGACAACCACCGGCTACACCACACCATAACACCATCCCTCCCTGCCTCCACCACCACCACCACCACCACCACCACACATCAGCACTCACACACCGCAAGCACCCAACTGTCACCTCCCAATCAAGTGGGAAGTGTGCATCTCGACTCGGTCCCCATGCGGCTTCGGCTGCACGGGTGACTTGAGTCTGAGACTATCCCGACACGTCACGCGTCGTGGATAGGAAGGTTGCTGATTGACGCCCCCACTCGGTCCACGCAGTTCGTCCCGTTGTGTGTGTGTTGTGTGGAGTGGCGGGCCGGTGGGCTGAGGACGGGCTGAAACAGCAACTACCACGCCACTCTCACGCAAGTGAGAGACACGCCGTTCAACCCCCGTTGTGCGAACTCCTGGTGTATGTGTGTATGGGGGGGGGCAGGTCGTGCACGTGGCGCGCGCAGTCATGATCAGTCGACCATGCCAGCCACCGCGCCCATTTCCCACTCCAGTCTGTTGACCGGCTCGGACAGCTGCTGGGGTGTGGGAATGGGAAGGGAGAGTGAGGTCGACGACTCTGCGCATTTTCTCCTCACTATAAACAATCTGACGCGCCTGAAGCTCTCACGGTGCGCTAAAAGCCGTGGCTTAGAAGGTTGCCAACTGACGGGACAACTTGGACATCCTCTTCGACTGGTGGGGGTCTGAGAGTCAGGCTGCAATGGCTCCTTTTTAATGTGGCCTTTATGGCACTCCCACTCTGTAGGATCCGAACCAGGCGTCGGCGGCACGCCTAGGTGCGGCTTCGGCCGTGCCAGCCTTCAATCTCGGTTGTGTTGTTTGAAATCCTGGTTATTGTTGTGTGGACCAGGGGGTGTGGTGGAACGCCAAGGTAAGGATCCGTCCGAGCCATCCACCTGCGGCCTCCCTCGTCTCCGGTCTTCTTGACTCTCTCTTGACATCGGGCTCGGGCGAGGGAGGAGGAGAGAGTGTAGGTAGATGCAGCACAAGTCTACCGGCACTATAAACCTCTGCGTAAGTCACCGTCCCTGCTCCCACCGCTGCTGCAGCTGTGGGGCACACGGTGTACATCATCGAAATCGATGGTCGAACTGTCATTTAGGTTTGTTCAGTCAGCAAAAAAGTATTGTGATCGCAACTACCCACGCTTTGATGTTCCTGTTGGTCATAAGCAGGCTGTGGACGATCGCGGTGGGTCCCTCCTGTCACGCATCCTTGGCTGCTGTTCCCGCTGAGAAATCTTATGATCGTATCTAAAGCGAATAGCCTCATCCGGTTTATGAATACTCCCCTGACGAGGAAAAATTTGAACTATTACAACTTACCCCTTCCAGCGGAAATATTTTTGTCCACAGTGGCGACAGTTTTTCCTTCCCAAAGTTAGCAAACCACATTCATTTCATGCCATTCTGAGCCAATCTTGGAAGGCAGGTTTTTCAGTGCTCCCTCACTTTTTCCTAACCCGCTGCTCACTCTAAACACAAGTTGAAGACCGAGCATGTTTGCATATTTATTCCAAAACTTACTCATGAATATCTTTTGAGATATATTTTAGTTTTTAGTTACAGCACCCGCACAGATGGCTAATAAAACAATCAATATCGACTTTACGAAAATTCACAACTGTTGCCTTGAATAGTTAGGCTCACTTACTTATTCATATTCTGGTGTGTCCCTCATTTTATTATTTAGAATGAGATTAATTGATAGCAATTTTAATACCAAACAGCTCTGTGATTGAGTTTTGAAAATAGCTATTCATTCTCTTTTCAAATCTAACAGGGATGGAGTCTCTTGTTTCTACATGTGGCGGGGTCTGCATTATTGTCTGTCAGACTTACAGGTATTGTAATACTTCAGTTGCCCTCTCCTTAGAAGCCTACCGGTATTTCAGGAATCAGTCTCCTACTAAGTCTGCAAACACCTTCCGATTTGCAGCTGCTCTTTGGCTCCACATGTCGAGCTGGTAATTTTGCCATGGTGTCAGCCACCAACAATCCGAGGCAACGTCTGTATTAGTCAATGTACAAACTACTGAAATTCCGAAAGTAAAGTGCTAGTGATATGCATATATTTGCCTGACTACGGGGTCAGAAAAAATTTGCAGCGGGTCCTGGCTTCTCGGTGTTTGTCAGCGGATTCTCCCGTAAAACCTAGGGCACTGTCAAAACTGGTGCGCATTGATCATGGAAGTTTTTTTCGATTACATCCAGTTCCTGCATGCGAAAGTGGAGAACTGCCTTTCTCTGTTGTCAGTAGTGTTTACAGTCATCATGTTCGGATTCTATCACCATTCGAACGAAGGCTGCTTACATTTTCGGAATAATTTAAAAATTCACTCCTGATAACTTCAAATGTATTGAATAATAAAGGGTTCGAAATGGAGTGAAATTGGAGTAAATGTTACAGGAGACAAGGAATCATCTCTACGGCTTCTTTGAAGATCTCGTTAAAACCTAAGCTAAGAGTACTTATGGTGAATTATACTAGGTGAGATTTGCCAATGACATTAACTCTGGTGCATTTTGTTGGCCGTGTTATTCTTCCTGGCGAACATCACCCAAGTGCATTAGCATGATCTCTGTGAATGTGGAAGTGACCGGGTTAAGCTCGCCGATCGGCCCAAGGGAATTATACCACAACCCATGTGATCGATATTGTGATTATGAATATCTTCCCCATGAATGGAAACTAGGTACCCAGTATCGATATGAAGCCGAACTTTGCATTTTCTTCTTACGATCGAAGTGAATCTTAAGGCTCCACATGGCAGGGATCACTGAAAAGCTGTGACATTCAATTGTGAAAAGTGGTGGCAGGACTCTTGCTACGATATCTCTAATTGCGCCCATAATGCAAATACTTTTTCTAAGTTTGAGGTTCGTAATTCCAAACTGCTGCCCGATGTCAAACATCTGGGGCAGTTTCAACTAAAGTCTCAGTGGAAGAGCTAGGACCAGAAATAAGCTTTAGTATTAAGGAGTGACAGTTGGGTTTCTTTAATAATCAAGTTTAAGAAAAAGCGTGGCGACTAATTTCGCCTGGGAAATGTTGCATACATTGTTGATATCTAAATTTGCGTTTATTTGGTGAATTTTTCTTTTTATATGTTCAAGCTTGAATCGAAGCGTTCCTTGACTGAAAGTGAGGCAACGCGTCTTATAGACTTTTCCAAATTCGAACAACTATTTTCTGCTAATTTATAAAGTCACCTCACAGAGAGGGGGATACGTATTAGAAACTCCCGTGCTGTCGTATAATTTCTCTCAGACGGGAGATCAATGCGAAATCAGATAGCCAAACCCGTAGCAGCAGTGAAGAGTAGTGACGCCAACCCTTAAGTTGTCACTCAATCTATTGGACCCGATCGCAGCTACAAATTCAACTGGGCTAGGAACCTCGAGAGAGGCGACAACTGTTAGAGCTGTAACTTAGTTTTTTTCGTGGTTTTCCGACCCACGGTCAAGCAGTAAATACCTTGAATTCTTCTCTATATTTGGTGCTAAGACATTGACTGGACGAGTTGGTGATTACTAGGGCGGAATGTAGGGCAAGACCGTTTCCTGAGATACTATAATAACGGGAATAAATGCTGTCGGTATAATCGTCACAGGTAACGACACGACCATTGCGAACAAGCAATCATCACAGTATGTTCAGCCATCTGCGTAGAATATGTCTGTAATTATAATTATAGTAATTATAATAGGCTAGTTAGTATGTACCACCCCCGGTTACTGCCCACGTGTGCATTCCTGTATTTATCTTTTCATGACTCCGGTGGTGGTTTCGAGTGTGAATTCTAGATGTCAGACAAATCAAATCCTCCTCTTACATATACGTCGAGCATCACGCCTACATTTTAAATAAAAAGTGTTATGATCTAGGCTTTCATTGCTGCGGGACTGAGCATGTACTGCATGCCAGAAGACGACGATGCCATCACTGGAACAAGAAATTTATTCGTTTGACGTTTCGGATTCTCAGTCAGTATATTTGGAGTAAACGACAGAAGCCCTGAAAACTCCACTTAGAGGGTACAGATGTAAAGAAAAACAGTTAATTTGCGGAAAAATTTTGCTTGCAGTTTTAGTAAGGAGAATTCATAAATCTAATAAAGTAACATAAAGGCGAAAGGGGTATGGTACTCGCGAAATAATTGCGAAAAACTTTGTTCACCGCATTCGGACTGTGAAAATATCCATATGGGCTAGGTTTGACGCACAAAATAGGATTTGTTGAAATCCTGTTAGTAGCGTATTTATAGTCGTTTAAATAATCAGTTAGATCAGCATTCGGCAGTTCGGGTTGACTTTCAGCAGGTGAGTATCCAGTGTTTCTTGAACACGTTCACGGTAGGGGAATTAAAAACATACTCCGGCAAAGAGTTTCATTGGCGAATGACCCTCTGTGAGATAAGGAGGAAAGTTGATTTATGTGGCACAGTTCCCTCTTAAGCTGGTAATCATGTCGTCTGAGATTAGACTTGGGTGCCATTTCAAAAAGCGTTTCCCAATCGACATCCAGATCAAGTTCTTTTACCAACTGGAACGTTGCTATGAGATCACCTCTGTCCTGCCCGTAGTGGAGGGGATAGAGGTTCAAGGCCGTCAGGCGCTGCTCGTACGCGAAATTTTTGAGGCCATGAACAGCCTTTGTAACACGCCGTTGTACACTTTCAATGATATCCATATCCTTCCGAAGCCACGGCCACCAAGCCTGTACCGCATATTCCAGGTGAGGCCGCACAAATGTCCCGTATACTTTTCCAAAGACATCTTTATTCAAGTGAATAAACGTTCTGCGTATCGCGCTCATAACGGACATTGCCCGCGCAGCGACTTTAGAACACTGAGTGGTGACGCCTAGATCGTCTTTAATAAATACACCGAGAACTTTTTGCACATCTACGGTTTTAAGTGGTTGATTGTCCAGGAGAAACTGTCGTGAGGGTGCATTTGTTCTTCGTCTCGCTGACACTACGTGCATTACTGCACATTTCTGACGTTGAATTCCATGCGTGCAAATTCTCTACGTCCTCTTGTAGTACCTTGACGTCATCTTCATCCTTTATCGTCCTTCAAAGTTTAAGATTGTCTGCAAAGGGCGCTATGTTCGATTTCGCTTCCCGTACTAGGTCATTTAGATGAATAACGAATAGGAACGGCCCAAGAACTGACCCTTGTGG